TAGTCTTTCACATACTTCCATCGAAAACAGTTTGAGAAGCGCTACTCTACCTAGATGTTCCTAAAGCTTTTGAAACGATGCTGTATCTTTATTTTCTAGGTCAGCCAGCATTTTCACCAAACAGCATTATACCAATTGCAGTCGCTATCTTTCCTTAACAGCGGCAAGAAAAAAGGATACATGGATCATTTCACAACACTTCCTCCAAGGGCTGGACAAAGAACAGCCACTCTGCAATCGATAACCAACGGCCGAGGGCTGTTAAAGATTTGCAGTTTGGATTCGAAGTAGGTAGACACAACCAGAATCCCCTCTGACAGCTGAAAGCAAATAACTGTTACTGGGCTATCCGTAAAATTCCTGAGATGGACCGTGAAAGGCAAAACTGGTGGATTCCTGCTGGCTCCGTTTCAGGCATGGTAGACTGACAGGGGTTTAAGCAACGAGCGTCGAGGGCTTGCCGGTGAAACCTGACTGGGTTTTCAGGCAGGCCGAGAAGAAGGTGGAATTAATTCGCCGTCACCTCTGTGTGCCTATTGAGGGCTTGATTCTTCGAGCTTTGCACAATCTTGGCGATTAAAAAGTGATCCTGCTCAACAACGACTGTGTTAGAGTCAGCGGACGTGTTTGTTCCAGTTAGAAAATCGTGGAAAAAGGAACATGGGAATTAACTCTTATTGTCAGAAGCTCAATCCGAGATGAAAGCCGTTGAATGCACGGTTTTTGCAAATTCAGCATTTGTCCGGTTGTGTGGCTCTATCAAAGCAGAGCAGCACCAGGGAGCCTTTATTTGCCGTCAATTGTGCTGCAATCCCTAAAAGATATAGTATCATTTTATTGTTCGGCTGCTCCTCATTTGAACTCGAGACTCTGTTGTGCGATCCATTCAGTCAAATTCTAGGGACCGTTCCAACTTTCAAGTTCATTTAATGTCTTTGAACCCTATTCATGTGTTTGCAAAGTGAGCTAAAGACCTGCGAGCTGTAAACTTCAAAGCACTTCCATATTGTACTTATTACAAGAAGTGCATCCAAGCATTAGTGGGTCTCGTATCTAAAGCATTTATCCTCAGCTAGCAGAAAGGAAGCTTAAGTTGGCAAGCCATTGGCATCAACAATTTGTGCTACATTTTGCAACCCTTCCACAATAAATAAACCACCAGAAGGTTGCTTTGTGTTATCAATATGGTGGCACAGTTTGATTTAGCCAAGTTTAGCCTTCACCTTCAGTTTTAGGGCTCTCACAGTTGTCCGAGTGGCATCTAATGGTGGATAAAAGGGGAAGAGAGATGGCAATCTCTTTCTGACCTGACTGAGATGTTTTGCAAGATGTGCCTGTACCTTGTTCATACAAGAACGTTGATGGCTTTGTTTGGTTTTCCTTTGGTACTAGATGCCAGTTTGATGGATGTTTAATTGAGACATGGTGGACAATGAACTTGAAGCCCCCAAGGGACCACTCAATTAGTTTAGCACCATTGCCGAAGCCTCCCTGTTTTGTCAATGCGAGTACTGGGACTAGTAATCTCAAGAGGTTTTCATGGTCTGCTTACGAATGCATCCAAACTCCCTGTGGCCCTGCCCTGGTCACCTCCTAATTTGAGTTAAACAGTCCTTTTAAAAAACATTAGTGCTGGAGTAAATTTGGCGTGTGACCATTGTCAAGCTCCCTCCATTGACTTGTGGCATTGCTTTTGTTAGCATTTGCATTAGCATAGCTTTAGCTTGCACCTGAAATCAGACCCCCTTAGGGTTCCAGTTATTAAAGTTGACTTGTCAGTGAAACATTTTACCATTTCAACATTTCTTTCTAGTAAAGGAAAATGGTCTTAGACTCTTTTTTTTTTCTCAGTAGCGTAACTGTATTGAATTTCCTCAGGCCTAAATCTTTATTTTGTTAAAAATTGTTAAATATTTATATCGGGGTTTTTTTTTAGGTAATAATGCATGTATTGATGTAGTAAAATATGATAGATTTGGAAAGCACCAACAATTTTTCACAGAAGTCACAGTTAAAATAATTTTGGATGGGGAAAAGTATGTGCTAAAGATCAGAAACGTCAAACCTGTAAAATCAATATTAGATGTCCATTTTTTTTTTCAAATCCTTCTTATGTTAAATACTTAGAATGTTAAGTACAATCTTGAATGAATTATTCCACTCAAGGTTTATCTAGGGATTGCCTGAGGATTATTATGAAGTTAGCACAGGAGTGCTCATCTTCAGTCCAAATATTTATCTTCCTACTCAGGTGTACGAGTAGATCTGAACAATATGTCTTGAGTTATGAAAAATGCTTGTGATTTAAATATCTGCAAGTACTACATGCTCAAAATGTACAACTTAATATACTAGATGAATGTAGAAGTAGATGAGCGCAAACGCTGCTATGCAATCTTTGCACTCTCGGCATTGCCACAAGGGGAGCTATAGCAAGCATTGGCATAAACTGTCTTCTTCTAATCTACTGTAATATTGGACACATCTCATGTTCATAGCTACTAGCTACCCGAGAGATTTTGTACGTAACTACGTAACGCACATGCCTTGTGGATTTTTCTGGCCTACTCATGCTGTTAGGATTTTGCATGGATCAAATTTAGATTATTTATACCTCAGCGTGTTGTTGAAAGGTCTGCCTGCCTCTTTCCCAAAGTGCAGAACTACTATAAACATGGCCATACGCTGATTTCACGCAGCCGCCATTTTGAAATCGAAAGCCAGGCCCCGGTGGGAAGAACCCCGGAACTACAGATAGACAACAATGCCTTGGACTATGGATATGTCTATACTTCGTTCCTGCTTCTTTTTTTTACATTCTGAATTATATACAAAAAAAAATATTTTACTTATAAATGAATTTCACTGTATATAGTCTAAAGTATGAAAGAAATGTATGTACATTTTTAGAATAACTAATTTCTACATTAAACACAACAATACGCCATCGCATTCGCGACTCTCCTATGATCCCACCGGAGCGATTTCAAAATGGCGGCTGCGTGAAATCAGCGTATTAAAATAAAACAAACCATAAAATGTATACTCATCATTGCCTCAAGCGGCATTACAATGTGCATAATCTTCAAGTGTCGATTTGTTTGCAACTATCTATTACACAGTTTAAAAATTGACAATTATTATCTTAATTGGATCTATACTTATTATCTAGTAGTTATTTTTTAATTCAAGTGTCCTTGTAATATTTAACCAAAAACAATAACTTTTCCTCCCTTCTCTTATTTATGACTTATGAGATCTCAACAATTAGCAAACATTGATCCAATCAAATCCCGATAGACAAAATCAAGTCCCGCCCTACATTTATTCTGGTTTGCTAAGCCATTTCATTAGTATATACGTCACAATCGGAATTTACTTTAATGCCAACGTTAATGGTAACTCTGTCACCCCCTAGAGTACTGAGGTGTGTTACCACTAAAAGTTACCCAAGAATGTACATAATGTATGTACAATGCATCTGCATACTTAGTTTCTGGCCTGCCCTTGCCTTTTGTACAGACCAAATTGATGTTCCAAAAATATAGGATACATAATTAATGTGAATGTTAATGCGAATGTTAATTTGTGTACTGTATAGGTATAAAATGCTCTACATGTTTGTTTTTGAATGTTTGTTGAATTGTTTTTTAACGTCATTTAAATATGTTCAGAATCTGTCTGCATCTTTCCCAAGACAAATGGCTACCATAAACATGGTCATTAAAATAAAACAGGCCATAAAATGACTTTTTAAATTAAAACCAGGGAAATGGTTGTTATGATCTAACGACGAAGGGAACAACTGCCACAGGCACAGAGAGACACATCTATACAGACTAACCATCGTACTTGAATGTCTACCTTGTAAATGGCATGTTATGTATGTATGTTGAGACAACAAAAAAAGGTCCACATTACGGGTTGTAGTTGTCAGCGTAGCATGTTTTAGCCTTGAATGTTTGTTCAAGGCGGATGCTAGTTGAGTTAAGCGATGCATTGCTGAATCCCTGACTCTCTACCTATCTTTCTCTCGTTTTTGGAGGGCTTGTAAACTGGCGGTCGCCTCATCTCCTAACCCCTTTTTGAAGCCCCCTCTGGTATTGCTGAGTTGACAGAAATGCAGGAATGGTAGGAGCTTGAAAACGAGAGACCCTCCCCGTCGCTCACTATCTCACTTTTCACACTGCCTTTCCCTCTCTCATTTTTTGCCGAGCCTGTACAGGCATGCCTGTCAACCGAACGGAGGGTGGATGGGGGCGCTGAGGGAGAGGAGTGGTCTGGGGTGAACAAAGGAGCTCTGTCACCGCTTTTCAGGGGTTCTGGGCTGTGCAGGGTGAACGGAGAGCTGGGTGGGGGGTGGCGAGAATGGCAATTAAATATGGACGGGCGAGCATTGAAACCGAACATAGAGGAGGACAAGCATTGAGTGTTCACACATATAGTCAAGCTCGAAACGGAGACTGTGGAAGCTCTATGTTTGTCGTTCATTGTGCAATATTTGCCCAACCCTTTATCTGTGCAGCTGTGGCCTAAAAAAGGAGAAAGAGCGCGTTGAATAGCCGCACAGCTGCTGGCGATTTTGATGAGCGTCTATTACCACTACAGAGTCATCCTCTTGCGCTGAAGTCACCTCTCCACACAGTGTAATATAGAGCAGGGCAGGGCCAGATCAGGGCAAATGTTTGATTTGTCAAGCCTTGCTCATCCTTTCAAAAACAGCAAAAACACAGCTGGTGGCCACACAGTCACGACCCCGATGACTGGGAGGTGTTGTACTGTCGTGACTTTTCTCTGTAATACTCTTGCGGGTGCCGCGGGAAAGATAACGAAAAGTATTTTAATGTAATGATTGGAATCCGCGACCTCGTCTCATCTTGTCAAATTGAGTTTTTTAAATGAAATGCGCTGCCTTCTGCTTTCGCCTGACTTTAGACAGTTCCATCTGGTGAAACGATTTCCTTATCGTTCTTCCTTCCCCCTCCCTCTGCATTTCATAGGTTATCAAGGCGCCAGAAACAGAGCGAGGGAAGCTGTTAGAAGATGCAATGCTGGGAAGTCTTTTAAACCCTGGTTCTTCTGGTGACTTGGCAGAGCTCAACCATGGAAGTCAGACTGTTGCAGGCCGAAGACGACCGATAAAGGTAACAAATTTACCTCTGAGGGTTTTTGGTGAAGTTGAAATGTATGTTCTGTGTCCTCGAATGTCTCCTCGGTACCATCTGCAAACGTGTGTGTGTATGTGTGTTGGGCATTTTGCCATGTGATCCAGGTGCAGAACGTGTCGTTTCATCTCCAGCTCATCCTGCACACTCAGGCGTCAGTTCCTTCACTCATTATCTGTGCCTTCATCTAACCTCGTCATGTTAAACCGACATCTGAGACTCCCTGTATTTTACTCACTGCAATTACCTCACCGCAAGACACTATCACTGCTATTATGAGCGAGTCTGGAACAATATGTCATCTTTAGGGTTCAAATATAGGTATTCCACAACCTTTGCTGACTATGAAGATGTCCGTTATGATGTAAAAGTTGGTTTTCAGGTAGTCTGAAAGAGCAACAGTAAAACATAAGCATGCAATGATTTGTAATTATCGACAGTTCAGCCCAAAATTTAATTTCTGTCATCATTTATTGTCCTTTGTCAAACCTGCATGCTTTTTTTCTGCCGAACACAAAATAATAATTTATGAAGAACGTTCATAATGAACGTGTCTTTTGAACTCAAAGAACACCATAAAAGCCATATGATTCAGAAATTTAAGCTGTAATTCACTTAAACTTTTGTCGCTGGTCTGAGGTATTGACAACAAACAGAACTAGATTGCTTTTATGGTGTTTTTGTCCTTTTTTGAGCTTGACTTGCAGTCGTTAAAAATGTGGTGTTCCACAAACAAAATAACAGCGTGACGGGTCTGGAAAGACATGAAGGTGAGTAAATGACAGAATTTTTGGTTTTCCGGTGGACTACTCGTTCAAGTTTAAATGTTGCTTGTGTACATGGTTTTTACAGCTCTTACCCTTAAATCCACAAAGATCAGAGTTACCGATCAGCCGTTTCATTCAAAGTGTTTGCTTTTCCCCAGGGCCAAAAATGTTGCATTGTGCTGCCAGTTAGTATTCCCAAGACGAACTCTCAGCCACTTAAACTAAGAGCATTCTTTATCCTTACTAAAAGCTTGAGTAAATGATCTCTAGTCTGTCAAGTGGTCAGACAGACTGGCCCTGTAGGATTATAGGTAACACAGATGTAAATGCTGAATGGCCGGAAGGCTATAATTTCTCCTTCCTCTTCTATCCCCCATCGGACCCCACCCTCCCTCGCTCTGGTCTGTTGTAAAAGTCCCAGCAGACTTTGTCGGGAGACTAGTACACTGGCTGTCTCTTTTCCAGTGGACACTTGCTACATTATCCTCGCTCCGCCCTTTTGTAGACCCCCACACGCCTCAACGAGTGTTTAAAAGCTACTTTTATTCCCTCCGGCGACGACCTCTCAAGCTGTTGTCTTCCTGGAGGTGATTCACTCGGCCGTTTGATTCCTTTTCTCTCGCACCTCAGCCTCATCCTCTCCTGCTGGGTTAACAACGCACCTCCGGGCTTTGACTACTGTCGCATGGCAGGTGAATCCAGCAATTTCACGTGGACTTGAAAGCGGGGGGTGGGGTCTGTCATTGAAAGTACCAATTGAGAATGCAATTTTAGATCTTTCTCAGTTAGCATAATCTACCCCTTTTTTGTAAAAGTTTTCCCTCATGTCTCCACTCCCATGCTGGGAAGTCCCAAGGTCCACTCACCCTATTCTGTGTATGCAGCAGGTGGCTAGTGGCTAGCATGCTAGCTGGTGTTTGCGAACCTAACAGTCCATTACATGCCGAATTAGCAGACACAGCCCTCAGAGCATTTATAAAGTCACACTGTGGAGGGATGGCTAACATTGTCCTTTGGTAATTGGCACAAGCTTGGTGGGATTTAGAACTGTCAAGGAGGATTTTAAGGAGAGTTGAACTATATGGCAGAGTGCTGATAGATGAAAATTGTGTGAATTTATACTCGCATGATTACGGACAGTCACTGGTTCTTCGCATTTGCCTGTAGTGTAGTAGTATGCTCTACACAGTCTTCGTCTCTCTGTCCCAATTTATGTGATACAATGCATAATTGAATATTTAAATTATAAAATGTAACCTCTGAATCTTGGAGCAAATGCACAACGTTGATGCAAATTGTAGTCTGATTAACATTTACACATAGGCTACTGGGTGAGGCTGAGGTAAAATCACATTATCAGATCTGTTAGTCTGACTTTGTGAAGTCTGACTGGTATGATTTCAGTCTGTCATAACATTTGCTTTAGTCTGACTAAAATCATGCATGTAAATTTACTGATTTCTACTTGAGAACAGTATAGAAAAGAAAGGAAAGGCTGAGGAGGAAAGGAAGGAACAGCATTGGAAAATAACGCAAACCAGACTGGTTTTGAAACATCCAATCGTTGCAGTAGCTCAACAGGCTAGCATTGCGCTAGCAATGACAAGGTCATATTGTCAAATGTATATCTTAAATAATGTATGCAAATGTCATAACACACCGATAGGCTAGGAAGCATATTCATAATTCAACATCCTCTCCTCGCATTCTGTAACAAATCTTTCCCTCGCGGGTCAAAATGACCCGAAGCCCTAATTTTTTATTTTTTTTTCAGAAAGCTTGTATCATTTCATTTCTATAATCTTTTTAATGCGATTTCTTTGGAGATTTTTTAAAATATTTTTTTATTTTATGTACCTTAAAATTAAAAAAAAAAAAATATATATATATATATATATATATATATATATATATATATATATATATATATATATAATTTAAGCACATTCCTCACATTCTTTCAACTTAAATTCAAAATAACTCCAATACATGCATAACCAGCCGATATCAGCTCAAAATATATCACATTGGGTCAAAAAAAATGAGCTGTTCCGCTGGGTCCTAAAGTCAGTTCTTGAGTTTGTCTTTTCAGTATGCATTCAGATACACATGTAGACATTATAAAATCATTTTTTGTAAAGTTTTAGCATTTTTAATTTTCATTTTGAGCATTTTTCTATGTATACTGAAGCATTCCTCACATTCCATTCATTCCTAAGGGATCGAATTGACCCGCGAGGGAAGGATTTTTTATTTATTTTTTTACAACCACATAAACTCCTTGAATCCAGTAAAAAAAAAAAAATGTTTTTTTTATTTATTTTTTTTATTCGTGGTTCAAGTGTGACAGAAGTCCTAAGGTCGTAGGACTCCTCTGATGAACACTCAATTTAAAAAAAAATTTAACAAAAATTAGTTTCTGGTCAAAATGACCCGAGGGAAGGATGAGGGATTTTTGAGAAATTTAATTGAATATTGTCCGAAAATTGTGTGCATTTACGTAAATGATGGGATAGTTTACCTGCTACTTCACAGGATGCTAAATGAGCGTGTTTCTATGGCCCATGCTAATTATGTAGCTCTGCTATAGGACCTGAGTGATAGTTACCGGTATGAAATCTGGACAGCTTTACTACCTCTGAGAACAGTGCCAGGGCCACGGGCACTTGACCAGAGAGAGATTATCTGTGGGCTTTCTTTCCTCCCTGCCTGCCAATATAAGCACAGCCAGCCATTTCACTTATCACCGGAGGTTAAAAACTACTGGCTAACCACATTGTGTGTCAATCTTCATGGTTCGTACTGTAGAGCTTGAAATGATCGTAGCATTTCAGGGAAACCTGGATGGAATTTGAGAGCGTTATTCCTACTGGGTTCATGAACTGCTTGAAATCCTTGGCTCTGTGGAGGCTTGTTTTGGACACAATGGTGTTCAGTACATTCTCCACTTGTTTCTTTCATAAGGTGCTGAACCTTCAGGTGGACTGAAAGCTCTTTAGAGCCCAGGGTTTGCGAGGGGACAAAAGACTCTTCACATGACTGTATTGATAGAAAAGACCTGGGAAATCTCCTGCAACGGCGTTCTTTCTTTAGGCAACATGCACAACTCCACGCACATTGCCATGTATTTTTGAACTGAATATTAATAATCGGCACATAAATTAAGTGATAAGTCAAGATTTCTGGCCCAAACAAGCAACATTGTAATCCAAGATTGATATAACAAGCAATGTTACAACAGGCCCTACTTGCCCGTAATGTATTTTGAGAGATAAATGGTCTCAAAGAGATTAAGTCGGTACAACCACGAGCCAAAGCGGTATAAAATGTGCTCATCACACTCAATTTGCCTAGCAAATTTGTAGCCGTTAATGCTGCTGTGGGAAAATATATTGAGTTACTTACCACCTTGTGTCTTTGCTGCCCAGGAGCTGCTCACGCGAGTTCAGGGTCATTACCCTCGCTGTCAATGACAAATGGAGCTTGATAGCATCTGCGCTTAGCTACAATGGAAACAGATTAATACCTCGGGGTGAAACTTTGCATATTACGAGGAGGAAGGAGGGGGGCGTTTGCACCCTCTCCTGTTTTCTTTCGGCGTCCCGTGTTTTGCAGCCCGAATAGTTGTTGCTCTCAAATGAGATCGTTTTAATGGATCATTTGGAGATTTCGAGGGGAAACGGTTTGTTTGGATATGCTAAGAAGATGAACGCTTCTGAGACAAAGGATGAATCATTAAAGTAGGAAAAAAATACAGCTATGTTCTTCTCCCGCTACCCTGCACTTTGTCTCCCGCTTCGTGACTGTCCCTGATATTGTCATTGTAAATTACAGACTATCAGGGGCCACGGAGCGTCTTGTTTTAGGAGACAGTCTTTTATTACAGCGTCTCAGTATTTATGACATCCTTTCATCTTAAAAACTTAACTCTGGATGCTCCCGCTTACAACCCATAACATTTTCTACCTCAAAGGTGTTTACATTTGCATGTAGGCCTGTGCATTTCATAGATGATTTTATCCAAAGCGACTTGCGTTCAGTGCATACGTTTTTTGTTTTTGTTTTTCAGAGTGTTGCCTTCAATCATAGCCTTATTTTTAGTTTTGAGTCTCTCTTTTGAGTCATCACCTGTGTTAGCTAAAAACAAAGATGGTAGTCATTTTGTCTTGGTTAGTGTAGTTGTAAATGTTAGAATTGTCCATTTTTCGATTTAAGTTTTGAGTGTGTAATGGCTGGTTTTCAGTGTGGCGAATTTGTACTCTGTATAAATCTCAAATGAGGGAGGTTACTGCTGTTATGACGACGCACTTTCAAGTCGATGGCACACCCTGAGGATGGAGACAATTAAAACATCTAAAGCCTTGTTTAGACGGCTAATCTGGGTGGTCCAGAGCTTGGGCGACAAGTTACAACTGGTTAGCGCCACAATAAAGTCTAGAAAAATGAAGGCTGGTCTGGAGAAGTCATGCCACTTTGGAGATATTTGAGGTTTTGATGTTGAATGAAAAGTTAGAAATTGGATCAGTTTCATGCAGACATTGATATTATTACATTAAATGTATTTCTAGTCCGTGGTGCACTGTAAGACTTTTTAAGACTCCAAAAAGGAGTTTGTGGGTGGTCCTCATTTAGGTCTCTGACTTGTGTATACATTAGCTTGTTGAAGACACAAATTGTGAGCCACATGGAAGTTTCTAAAATAAAAATGTTCATCAAGTTGTCAAGTAGGAGCAAGACTTGGAAAATGAAACTGGATGACTTAACATCGTGCAATTCAGTGCATTACATCGGTGTTAGGGTTGAAGGAATCTATACAGATTTTGTAAATCTTTATTCAAACTGAAGGTTTTCATATTCTAAAATCTGGATTTCGGTGTGCCTGGAGAACCAACATTCCATATGTAATTAGATTCTCAAATGTTTCTCCCAAACAGCAATGAAATTAAAGCATTGAAGTCTTCCATTGTCTTTTATTTTTTATCCTTTTTTCCCCAAATGTCTCCTATAGAGTTTCAATAGAGATCTCAGTAATGTCACAAACTGTGCTCAAATTTGTCAAGATCCCAAAGTCTGCTGTCAAACGTCAGAACATTTCTTAATTTAAAATGATCCAAACTAATATTATAGATCTGTTCTCTCTCACAATATGTCAACAATTGTCTCATTTGTCTCTATTTCTTCTTCAAACAATTTTTAGAAGAAACATTTGTGACGGCATTTGTGGGAGTTCCATTTAATCTCCTGAGCTCTGATATGAGCAATGCAATTTTCCTCTTATTTTTTTTATTAAATTTATTGGTCAAGGTCAATTGATTACATTTATTTTTCAGACATATTTTTGCTAAAATGCAGAATAGGCTGACTGGATGCGCAACATTACCCGCTAGCAACAATAGTCATTATTATTACTGCTGTCCTAACTATGCTTACATTTTACATTTTTAACATTTAGATGTTTATTCTTAAATTAGAAAACATATGAAATATATTGGCAACTCCTCTCTACAAATTTGACCTTAAACTGTCTTCAACAGAATTGCCATTTTTGTCCTCAGTATTTCAAAATGAATTGATTTAGTTTCAGCTCTTGTCTCTTTTCTTTTTTAATCCAACAGCACCGTAGAGACTTCTGCGTTTCACGTGTTGTCAGTTTCCTTGGTTCCTCTCTTTTCATCTTCTGTCACTGCTCCATGTGAGATTGGGCGTCACAGTGTTCTCACATGTACCTGGCCTTTGAGATATCAAAGGTTGACTGCCATCTGTCCTAGCAGGCTAACACAGACGCGTGAGACAGAGTTTCTCACTCAGGTGAAGCCGTCTGGCTACAACCAGCTTTATCTGTTACACACAGAGGTAGAATGTGTTACAGGAACACACAAGAAAACAGTTCAGCACAATGAATTACCTTTATCTTACAGATAAATAGACATATATGACCAACAGAGACACTGAGAGAGGCACGTCACCCACAATATTCAGATTATCATAGGTTTTCTGTGACTTTTAATTTTTTTTAAACATGCACACTTCAACATGCGGTTGCAATTTCTTAAACAATTGTGTGTAAGTTTGAATAAGGAAATCCATCCATTTGAATTGCAATTGTGTATGCAAATTTTGGTTGAATCGGTGGAACTTGCAAAGGATACCGTAACCACATTGATATGAACAGATATAATTTACCACTGCTACCTAGAAGCATTCAAATCAGTCATGAGATTCAATCCAACTGGTTATTTTCAAACTGCCTTTTATATTGGTCTGTGATGAATTAAATACATTTGTTAGACAACTAGTCTAACAATTTATGGTCTCAAATTATGCTGCAAAAATTTTTAATCAGTATTTGTTTAATTAATTAATTATTAATTCATTCATTTGCATCTTTATTTTCTACGGAAGCTTGTTTTTGCCACGGAATAAAAAAAATGAAAAGATAATTGCGACTTTTTATCTCGGAATTGCGAGTTTATATCCCGCAATTCTCACTTTTCCCACAATTCTCACTTTTTTTTTGCAATTGTGAGTTTAAATCCTACAATTCTCACTTTTTTCTCACAATTGCGATTTTATATATCGCAATTCTGACTTATTTTCTCTGAATTGTGAGATATAAACTTATAAAGTCCGATTATTAGGGAAAAAAGTTTATATCACGCAATTGCGCGAAAAAAAGTCAGAATTGTGAGATTAAAAAGACGCAATTACCTTTTTTATTTTTATTCAGTGGCGGAAACCAGCTTCCATAATTTTCATTTCATTGTATCTTTTATATTACGTTATATTATATTATATTTGTTTTAAACTTTATTTTTTAACAAATATTATCTGAAAAATGCATTTGCATAAGAACCAAAATTGTGCGAGATATTACGACTTGTTTTCAGAGATTATATCCTTTTGAATGAAGTTTACTTTTCTTGCCCCATTGGCAAATTGTTAAAGCATAACTCTAACAAAACGTAACAATTTAGTAAAGCAGATCTCCTGCCAAGAGACGGGAATCACGGGCTACCCTCACACTGACCCCTCCAAGTGTAGAATTTGTACACACTGTGAGTGTTTGCTAAAGGAAGTCCAGAAATCTTTCAACTTCCTTCCAAAGTGCTTGGAGAAATCCTTCACGTCCTACACACCCTTAAATAATTTGTTGGAAAAAGAGAGATGACCCAGAATGTTCCAGCTCTGCAAACTCCACATGCACTTTTCCCTTTAAACTACAGATATGGGGCTAAACATTTTGAAAGAGATTTGATAAAAAGTCAGGCATTTTATTTATTTTTTTGGTTCTCTCTCCCTGTCTCTCTCAGGTCCAGACATGAAGGAGACCGCGTCTTGTCTGTGGCATCTCACAATGAGAAGAGCTTTCAGCGTGTCGCGAGGTAATTACTCTCCTTGAGGGAGGAGGGCGAAAGCTGTTTATTGTAATTATGTCAGAGAGATGAAGAAGCATGCTTGTGAGATGCTCAAACATTGTCTCAACATATTTGGGGGGGAATTTACCTGAGTTATTATGTGTCAGCATAATATCCCAACATCACATTCCCAGCCAGCTATAACATTCAGTTGTGTTTAGACCGTCAGGATAATGATGTGCTAACGCTTGTGAAACCGTATCGTGTGTGTGTGTGTGTGTGTGTGTGTGTCGTCTACCCTGAAGCCCTTGGCCCAATACACTCGACAGTGACCGTTCCATCCACACAATAGAAAAATATCCTGCTTCTCTCCATAACAACAGCTCTGCTGAAGTGGCGGGATTAGAACATGCCGGCCCCGGCCAGGGGTTGCCATGGGAAAGAACCTCCCTTCTCCTGGATCTGTTTTTCATTTACCCCGCTGGTCTGGGATCGGGGTTTTATGTGCTTACACTATCAGTGTTTGGCCCATTAATTCACATCTGCAATTATAATGTCCAATTAGAGCCCAGGTTGGCTCGCCTTTTTTGTTATGAAGTCAGAGGGGGTTGGAAAATAGTGCAATTTTACACTGAAAGGGGTATTTGTTGATATTGCGTTCCTGGTTATTTTATGCCCGCAGGCTAACAGTTAATTGTGAGTAGGTGATAGTAGGGTAGTAGAGATTGCAGAAAGAAATGGAGGAGGAAATCACAACAGGAACCGATGTATTGAGGCACTTGAATGCCCCATGAATGTAATGGCTTGCTAGATCGACCAGTGCAACATGCAGAGAAAATAACTGCTTTTTGTTGAAAAAGCATAGTAACTACAGTATACAAAAATATGTATGTATTCTTGCATTAAAACCATGATAACTTACAAAATTAACCATGGTTTTACTACAGCATTTGCAGTAAAAGCACTAACTATAACACTATGGTTTTGGTACAGTACCATGGTGGGTTTTTTTTGTGTGTGTGTGTGTAGAAAAACCATAGTAACTACAAAAATAAACTTGGTTTTACTACAGCACCAGAATCTTAACAATAGAGTTTGTAGTAAACCATAGTAAAAAAAAAAAAAAAAACTTGACTATGGTTTTACTATATGTCTGACTCATTTATACGTTGAGGGAGAACATTTTGTTTACAAAATTAAAGAATTGGATTTTATTGTCACTGTTGAAGTCACATCAAATTATTAGTAGCACCATTATTAGACTTTGTGAAACCTTATAAAAACACAATAAAATATGATGTAGTACGTCTTAGGATATGTCCAAATGTATGAGATCACACTGAAAACCTAGGTTTTATTTAAGCCTTGCGGGTTGCCCACATGCTCTCTCTCTCTCTCTCTCTCTCCACATTACCTACTGTATGAATAAAAATAGCCAAAAAAGCGCTAGTGTGTATAATATCTCTCATCTGAGATGTTAGGATCGCAGCGGTAGGGGCTGTCTAGCCATGCGGTGCAGGCCTCTGAGGAAACCCTCGGCAAATGGATGTTCTCTTTCAGTGCACAGCAATAAATAATCCAGAAAAATGATCGTGTCTACGGCAGAAGAGGTGGGAGACTAACGAGCCCGCTGTTACTCATACTGTCATTAGCTTCCTGCTCTCTAAGCCCCACCCACACCTCACTTGAGGGAAATTTAAATGCTAGTAACACAGAACACATATCCTAGTGCGCCTGCTGCTCTGCTAGCTAAGCCGCTAATGTTGTGTTGTAATCTTAGCTCTATAGCCAAGGCTAATGGGTGATGCAAGCACAAGTAGACTCGTTAAAGGTAGTGGGCTTAATGGTTAAACGAATAGCCTGTATCTTGTATAAACCTTGCATTGGTCTGTTAGCATTTAAATAGCATGCTGCAACTCTTCAAGATAGCATGTTGGAGCCAGCATGATACTTCTTATGGTTTTCTTTACGTTCTTGTTCGCATGACTACTTTTTGTGATGAGCAAACAAGCAATTTGTCTTCCAGCTTTTAGGCGATATCGGTTTTATCGCTTTTTCGCATCAAAAGACAACAGTACAGCTGTCGTATTGGACTATTAGCATAGAAATAGCATGGCTGCTAATCTTCGAAAACATTTGATCCATTATGATTCTTTTTATTTTTTCATATGCTTTCTGCGTGACTACTTCAATTTGAGATTTATGACGATTTTTTAGATTTAAGTTCATTAGCGACAAGCAATGTGTCTGTTCCAATTAAAGGTGACCTATAATTCAAAATTGAATTTACCTTGGTATAGTCAAATAACAAGAGTTCAGTGCATGGACATGACATAGAGTGAATCTCAAACTGGACTGTTTTCGCGTTCTCATTTAATTCACGTTTATGAAAAACACCCCTGAAAAATGGTCGGTTCTCCACACAATACCGACTGTGACGCAATAGTCGGGATCATTAATATGTACGCCTCCAAATATTTGCATATGCCAGCCCTCAATGCCAGGCGGAACTGCGCAGCCGAAGCATGGCAGTTGCTCAGTGTGGATGTACACATGAACACAAAAGTATTTTTTAGTTCCTTCATCTGAGCCTCTGAAGAAACAATGGGTTAATTTTATTTTCTCTGGAAATTTCCAAACATTTCACCGACTGTTTCCTCAACTTGGGCCAATACAGAGCTGGCCTCGGATCGAGCTACCAAGCAACACTTTCTGATGTGTAATTGTTCAAGTTCAGACAGGTAATCTTTCTCTCAAAATCTTTCAATACTGTTTATGCATCAGTACGTCAAGCCAGTGACTAAAATATCAGCTTCACATCGTTTCTTTTAGTAGGATGAAAATAATCGTATTTAAATTGTGAACAAATTATATACAGAAAGCGATCAAAGAACAATCTTTCCACACAGCGCGAGTTTATCTGGACACTTGCCAAACTCGTTATGAAATCAATGACGCACGTTACTGCACAACGAAGCTCTTACTGTATTTACATCATCGTGTTTGCATTGGTGAAAGCATTAGAGAGAGTGCAGAAACTGCTTTGCAATGATAAGATCTTCATTCTCACGATCAACACACTGTCATCTGCTCAATGCTCATCACGGCAACATTTTATGTGATGGGAATAGATCTAAATACTTTAAAAACATCTCACGATTCGTTAATCTCGATAGCTGTTATAGTAAAAACGTATAATAGCAGTAGTAAAAGTATTCGGGAGAGAGTTTCACATGTAATGCGTAGCTATTTCATATGCAAGCATGTCAGCCAATCACAGCAGTGGCCGCGGTTACACTGAATCCCACAGCAGACACGCCCCTTCAAACAGAGTGTTCAAATCAGAGGCTAAAAGCAGGCTAGGAAAAATGCCATTTATTTCTAAATTATGATTATTTTTTATCTAAAAAACATACTAACATTATAAGGGTAACCCAGGAAACATTATAAAAAAAAATAAAAAAAACATTCTAGGGCACCTTTAACATTTTGAAGATGGCTTTTATCACGTTTTGCTTTATCGCATCGTGGCCAAAGTAAACCAATTATCAAAAAGCCGGTTTTCAAAGGGGCGCTTTTAACGTAACGTTAAAAGTTCTATTCGTACAGTAAAGCTGCCATATTATCAGTTCACGTTCTTTTTTGTTGTTTTTGTGCACGTTATATTTCACGATGGTTTTTTATGCTAGCAGCCGCATTGTCTCGTAATATTTCACGATCCCAAAAATGTTTAAACGTGCAGACACACACACACGTCATGGTCTGTAATGACATTCATGACTTCAGATGTCCACTATCGACTGATTTTCATGGTTATTGAGAGGCTAACCTCACATGCTTTGTTTGAAAACTGCGCGCTTTTGACAGGCCTGCGGTCTTCCTGCCGGTCAGTAAGCTTTAGTTGGAGCACTCATCCAAACACACACACACCATTTGTTTGGTCCTCAAGGGTTTTAAAAGGCTGCATGGCTGGTGCACATCAGCACAGATACTTTTGTTTGCCTGATATGTGAGGAAGCTATGTTTTTCGGTATCACCAAAGCATGCAATTAGAAACGGTGGCATATGTGTGTGTGCAATGTCCTCCTCCTTCGTCCTGATAGAGGCCCCTTGTGTGAAGATCTTACAGACCCAATTACTGTAATCACGATGATCAAAGGGAGGGTGTTGAAGAGAAGAGAGCAGCAGTCAAGTCAAAGTCTGGCTAAGTGTGTGTGTGTGTATCATTTGCGTGGGGGTAGGGGTGCGGTTTGCTGTTCGATTCACATCCATCATCTGTTTAATGTACGGATTCGTTTATACAACTCTCAATCTCTTTCTTTTTGTGTGCATGTGTGTGTCTTTGCAGTTTCCAAAGTTGGTACAACAGATACACTGGATGAAGTCGGAGGCCAAATCCCTCCTGGGCGGCTGACCCTCTCCTGCACCACGGTAAAGGGTGAGCGTCGATGTTCGGGTGGCAAAGGCAAACGGGTGGACAATTTGTCTTCGGCCTTAAAGGTGCACTCAGGAATGTTTCCGTGTTAAAAGTTTACAGAACCAGAAATAGCACTAAACAAAAGTAAATGTGATTTTAAAAGTCGGTCATATCAGTAGCCTAATAAAACCGGTTTTATTTTACATGGAATGGGTCGCCTCATGGAGGCCACCATTTTGAAACTCACTTAACCGTCCTATTATTAAAAACTTGTGCTTGCTAAATATATTATTCAATAGGACAGCAAAAAAATTGCATTTCAATCATGTTTTTGCTAACTAAATGCTTTTGGTTTTGCATCATTCTGCATCCACACCACTAGGTGTCAGTATGTCATGTTAGGCATTGCAACCAGCACAATATAAACCAAAAAATTACTGAGTGCTCCTTTTAAAGTGTATCTTTTAAATAAGATTTCCAAGATTTATAATGCCCTATAATGAATCCTGTTCCATGTTTATTTAACTATAAATTACACATGTCATATGAACATGCAATGGATCTTCCATATAACATCTGTTCTCTTTTCTTGTTTCCTTTTATTTATTTCTCTGTTTCTGTTTATCGTGTTATGCTTGCTTACACTTGGATTAAGGCCAGGTTACTGTCTAAGACTTGTGGACACTGAATCTAATCACCTTTTGTTAGCAAGACTTTGTTTGATTTATAGAGAATTTTATTTTATTAGGCCATCAAAAGAAATGAACACTTTTACATTTTGTATGTTAATTGTATTTTTAATTATTTGTATATGAATTTAAAAACTTGTGTATCGTATTTTCAAGTGAAAAAGAACATTCATCTAGAAGTAATGGAGCGGGGGGGCTTGAAGTGATAAACGTGTGATAGTATTGGTTAATATTTTTGCCCCGCCCACATGGCCTTGGTTACATCAGCGAGAAATTGATGCACAATAAGACAAGGGGCAATCATGGAAAAAATAAATAGTCGATTTTTTAATATATTTTTTTATGTTGTGTAAAAATGTCCAAACCATCAAAAGGTCATAAAGTTTGAGAGCAGAATTCAATAAGTTGTATTTTTGGAGTAGGTGACCTGTGATATGTCCTTTCAGCATTGAGAGGTGGGATGCACCCGCCCGCTGCTTGCCTTGTCTCCACAGCGACCTCTGCGCAGACTGTCAAGTCGACTCACCATCAGGCCATGTTTGCCTCAGTGAACATTCAACGCTGTCGGTGAGTTTGAGCTAAATAGAAAAAAACCATCGACCGTTGATTGTACCCTGCGGCCGAGCCCTACCGAGCCTTGCCTCTCCCCACCATCGGCTAAAGAGGAATTTGAGCATGGACTCCTGGAGACACGGCCGCGCGGTCTTCCGATGCTAGCCTCGAATGACGCCGGAAAAGTTTGACTTTGAAAACTGCAACAAAGGTCACAATCAACATTCATTGCTGTCGGTGGGTTGGACTGTAAAAGAAAGCTCACTGAACAATGAATGCAACTGTGTCCCAGATTTCCTTCTCGCAAAGTGGCACCGGCGATAAATATTAACTGACAGAGCTGGATATACTCATTTGCTCGCCTCTCTGAGTTTGTTTGTGGCTCTTCGTGGCAAAGACGCAAGTGGACTGAGAACACCATGTCAAAGGCCCCTTTAAGGCTGATGAATGTTTCCTTTGTATAATAAATAAAGACAAGACCTATCCAAACCCAGTCTAATCCTGTGAGTCTAAAATGTATTAACCGGAGCTGTGGTAGAGTTGTTAAATTATTTTCATGATTTGTTATCACAAATTTGTATCTTTTGGTCAAATCAACTTAGATAATTAATGTGGTTCAGATAACATAATATTTAGAGTTTCTATTTATTAAATCAAACTCCTTAGTTGTAAAACCCCAATTTTTTTTATTTCAATGAACTCAAAAATTTTAAGGCAACCAGGTAACTTGCTTTTTTAAGTTAAACCAACAATCATTTTTTAAAGGACTGTTTTATGTCTTGATGCCTAAATATTTTCTATCTGCAATAATTGTAGGCATAGGCCTACTATATAACTACAGCCCCCTATATATATATATATATATATATATATATATATAGAAAAAAAACATTGAGTTCATTTTTCATTTAAATGAACTCAAAAATTTCAAGGCAACCAGGTAACACTTTAAGTTAAACCAAATCTTTTTTTTTTATATTTATTATAATATATATATATATATATATTATAATAAATGATTATACATATGGTACAATCAGTGACATAAAAGTGTGCCCCACAGAGTTTTAAAATTTTCATTTATAGCCATTTTTTTTACACAATGACCCAATATCCTGTCTAATAAATGCCTGATGGAAACGTAGACTGAGACTATGTGGTTAGGAACTAAGTAAACAAGGTTATTTTGAAAACATCTTATTAAAGAGTTCTTGCAATTCACCAATAAATCCAAGGCTTGTGAGATCATAGGCTATACACGTCGCGTTTGAGCTGAACTAAACCGATCACGGTGAAATCAGAGAAGGATAGCGCTCTATCTTAAGGATAGAGGCCGTATCTTAATTAGAGGCTAACGGTTTTACTGTCCGTTTCTAGGCCAATCCAAGATTATGTCACATTGCTGGTAGTTTATGAAAAATTAATCCAAATTAAATTTGTCAAGAAGCTGCAGTGGCTTATCGTGTCGGTGTGGGTGAGAGCCCCTCGGCACCTCGGTGACATTGCTGACAGAGATTATTGACTCCCGCTCGCCGTTGAGTTTTTTTTTAAACGACAGTCAATTCGCGGGATTAATTAACATCAGATTACGGCTCCATCAGAGACCTGCTGTGTGTGATTTCTTAAGGCTGGGCTACTTTACTTACTGTGGCGGTGAGGACGCATGGTCCTGGGATGATTATATAGGCCTACTCTTAAGAATTATTTGATGAAAACTGTCACATGAAAGATATTTGGAGGCTGCATTAACGAATGCGAAGCAACCTTGTAAAGTAATGCTGATGGCCGTCATGTTGTGAAGTCTGTGATTCATTTGATTCCTGTCATAAACATTTTCCCATTTCATCAGGCATATAAACGACATCAAATGTAATAGGATAACCTTAAAAGACATTAGTAGCACTGTAAAAAAAATATTTTCATGATTTGTTGTCACAAATTTATATCTTTTGTCAAATTTGGTTCAGATAACATAATATTTTGAGTTTCTATTTATTAAACCAATATCCTTCATTGTATTAACTCACATTTTTCATTTAAATGAACTCAAAAATGTCAAGGCAACCAGGTAACTCTTTAAGTTAAACCAAATCTTTTTCTCATTCTCACTAAAGTGAGCTTTGATTGGACAAAAATCTGTGCAGGACGATTAACCATGTTGTCCAAGAAATCAAGAGATCGTTACAAAACTTTAATATTTAAAACTTTAACTGCAAATATGCAGTGCAAATCAATGTAAGAGTTTAAAACTTTTCCATTTCTCAAAAGGTATAAAATATAAAAAGAAAATATTTGATTTATTTTGAATGTTTAAGCAGTTCAAGGCAAACCTAATCGCAGAAAATTATAGAGAAAAACAAACAGAATTACATTTATTTTGAAGTATCTGGAGTCTTTAAAATTTTGTAACACAATGAGCAAGGCTATGGGCCTATATAAGGTAACACAACATGTAATTGCCTTAAAAAAACTTAGTATGTTATAAGTTTCATTTAGTTTGTATTTGTACGTTCTAACTCATTGTGGTGTTTTAATTATTGTTGGTTTAACTGAAAAACTAAGTTACATGGTTGCCTTAATTATGAGTTTATTGAAATACATTTATTGAGTTAATACAACAAAGGAGATTGGTTTAATAAATAGAAACTCAAAATATTGTTATCTGAACCACATTAATTATCTAAGTTGATTTGACAAAAGATGTGATAAATCATGAAAATATATTTTTTAAGTGAGTCTTATTGTAGGCTGCTGGTTTTACAGGCACTTTGAATAGGCCCATTTGACCCTCATAAAATGGCCATGTTATAATAACTGGCCAAATTAAATAATCATAAAAACAATAAAAAGAGGTAACTGAATTTCAGTCCATGAAATCACAATCAAAGAACATGTGACACATTTCCGAGCTTTACTTTAGGCCTACAATTCCTGTTTCTTGTTCTCCTCGAGCCCCTGTTCCCATCACAAGCTTGTTGGCTTTTGTATAGGCCTAATAAACACAGAAATGACAATTCTGTTTTACCGTCGCCTCCTTTGAAGCCCCTCATTCGCTTATTGTGTGGGTATCTATAATTAAAGCCTTGAAGCTTTTCAGCTCTTGTTTTTAAAGCGCCAATTCAAAGTTACAGACCTCAGCAGTATTTTGGGATAGACCGTGTTCTGTTTTTTCCGACTTCTGAATGTCACTGTGGTTTCCTAACTGGCAACAGGAAAGGCGAAGAAGACTGCAGGTGTTTGAGAAGAAGAGAGCCGAGCATCAGTCAAGACAAGAGGATTAACTCAAGCGAATATTCGCGGTTAGACGTTTCGACCTGTGTACATACCCGGCCGTTTCCCTCAAATATGACACTATTTTGAGAAATACCGCAGTGCTTTTATATTTTCCTCCTGCTTCAATGGCTTCCTTTTGTGGAGTTGAGGAACTGAAAATAATCGTGACACCTATCACCACGTAAATTACATTAAAGTTGACGTTCAACTAAAATATCAACCTCCCTCAGATGAATTACTGAGTTATTGCACTACGGTTTGACGAAAATGGCCGTGTTTGCTAAATCGTTATGCTAGCGAAAGCTCAGTGGAAATTAAAAGGTCCCTGTTCACTTTCTGCCAACATTAACATTTGTCAGGTGTTATTAGCATGTGTCAACATTTGAGTTGGAAAACGTAAAGGTTCAGCGGGGTCCTACAGGAACAATGTATACCAACAGCAAAATGAGTAAATAAAGAATTAGATTTAAATAGCACCACGTGTTCTGAAGGCGAAAACATGTCTGGTGTTTTTGGGAGAAAAAATAACACTGTGGGAAGTCTTACATTTCTTCTAACTATTAAATATTTAGTTTAGGCCTATTTTTTAATGTTAGTAATTCCACGTGGATCTTTATTAAGTGTATTCAATTTTATATGT